TGTTTACATATACATACATACATACATTAGACTGATTCAAAAAAAAAAAATCTCTTCAACACCTCAGGGGAGTTTTCCGAAGCTGGCTGTTAAAAGCGCAACCCTTAATATTAAGTTGAAAAGGTCGCGAATCGCGGATTTCTATTTTCCATATAAATTACTTAGAAAAATATTGTTTTCAACTGTGGCATTTGTTTTCTAGTCTTTGAATTATCATCCTGAAAAGTGCGATACATATTTTTGTAGGAAATAAGACGCTCCACAAAAAACGTGTGATATAATTAATCGTTAAACATACTGGTTTAACGGTTATTCAAAATTAAAATTAAGTTTATGTCAATATTACAAAAAAAAAAATCAGTGCAATGTAGAACAACAATATGGGTACCAAATGAGTGAGAAAATTCTGTAGAATTTAAAAACAATAAACGGACAAATAGGTATTGAAAATTCACTTTTAATAATTTTTACGAAATTCGATAATGAGGTCGAGCTTATATTAGTCCTCAAATAATATTTTTTTTTTAAATATTGCAAATTTTCAAAGATATTTAAAGACAAAATTTGTAAAGGTCATTTTCGATGCCCATTCGTCCCTATTCACCAAAAAATTTACTCTGTTATAATTCTACAGAATTTTCTTTTTTATATGACACCCTTTTTTAAATAAAATTTTGAAGTAATCATATTTTTTAAATTTTAAAGTTCTTTTAAAAAAATCCTGACGTCAGAGAGAAAAAACTAAGTGTGCAGTTTTACTATAATTTACCCATAGTTTTGCGAATATATTAATTTTTTTTGTGTGTAAAATTTACTGTCGCATGATGTTTTAGGTAAAATAATTAAAGTTACTTTCAACTATCCAAAAAAACTTTTAAAAATTAAAATTGCAAAGTTAATTTTACTAAAAGAACTCACCATTTCGGTGGAAAATTAATTAAGAGTCATTTATATTGTATTGGTTTGTTCGTTGTATAACTATTTTTTGAAAGTTTGTTTTATCAATTATTCACTAAACGTTATTTTAATCACTTTTTCTAACTGGGAATTACAATTTGCAAGATTTTTGTTAAAAAATTTGCATATTTAATAATTTTTAAATTATTAATTATGTTATTAATATTGACATACATTTATATTTAAGTTTGAATAATTTATCGGTCTATCAAAAAATGATATGACACGTTTTTTGTAGAAGGTCTGATTTCCTACAAAAATATGTATCGCAATTTTCAGTACGATAGTTTGAAGATGAGAAAATAAACTCCGCGAAGCGCGCCCTTTTAATATTAAGGGTTGCGCTTCTAACATCCATCTTTTAACATCTCCCTGATGGTATTGAAGAGAGGATTTAAAAAAAAGTCGATTTTTTTAAATCAGTGTCTATACATACACACAATGAAACGTAAATATTATGCATACAATGTACTATATTGTACAATCAATTGCAACCAAATTCAAGATGATATTGTTTGCCACTCATGTTCATTTATGTATTTATTTTTTTACAATTTTCAGTTAGAGTACAATTCATTCTCTCACAAAACCTATGTTTAGGATTTTGCAGAGAACTGAAAAAAATTAAATAAATTTTCATCAAAATTTTAAATTTTTTTCCTTTGTCGAAAAAGTCGCGGTTTTCTTCCACATAAAAATTGATTGTGTTTATTCGTTATATGGAAGCAAATGCAACAAACAATATTAGGAAAAGTTTAACCTCAAAAAAGTTTCCAATGGAATATCAGTCANGGTGAATTTAATAGCGTGGTGTTAGCCGTATATAGGTAAAAAATTATGCTAACAAATTACAACAAATACATCATTTTCACGTTATGCTTTCCACTGCGAAAAGGCAGCTGTCGCTCCAACACCACCTTATTAAACTCGACTTGATTTCGACTATGAATATTCCCTAATAGATACTTGTATCCTGTACTCCAAATTAAATACTGATTTTTATTTCTGTTTGTTTTTTTTTTTGCTACAGGGCACCCCAACTGTATTACCAGCACAAAACTTTGATCCAGTCAAGGATGCTCATGATTTACGCAAGGCAATGAAAGGTTTTGGCACCGATGAAGATGCCTTGATAAACATAATTTGTCGTCGTTCCAACGAGCAGCGTCAGGTAATTATAAAACTTAAATAATAAAAACTGCAATGGAAGTTCTACGAAATTTATAACTTCTGATGTGGAAACGGGACCATTATAAAAGGACTTGGCAGTGTTGCCAGGTTACTGCAGTAATTTACCCCCAAGGGCAGCCATTTTCCCCTAGATTTCCCCCTTTGTACCCCTAAAGTTATTTATTTGGAATTTATTGTAATTTTTTTTTTTTAATTTTCAATGTCAATTGTAGATAGTCTATTTTTATTTAGTATATATTTCAGAGGGATTACATTTTTAATTTCACTTAAACTTTTAACTAAGTAACTCTAGTTGTTATTTGTCATTTGGCACCAAAACATAATACATAGGAGTATTCCCTGAGGCTTGCAAAGCCCTTGCACCGTGCACAGATTGCATGGTAAAAAACGGTTTTCGTATGGGACAGCTTTGCAAACCGTGCACCGTGTAAGGGCTTTGCAAGACTCAGAGAATACCCCTAATGACATATTTTCATATAAATGCATAGGTTTGCGTTGGTGTTGGTAGCCGAATTTGAAGATATGGTTTTATGTACATACATATATAAAACTGTTTACATAGATAACGGATTACCCCAAAAAATCCTTTTTGGATTTTCCCTAGACGCATTTTCTTACCTCTAAAGCTTTCCCCTAAATATTTGATCCCCCTAAATTTACCCCTAGGGTAGTCAAAAGTCCCTAAATCTAGGGGGATCATCTCTACTCTGGCAACACTGGGCTTTGGGCTTCCTATTCTTTTTTTTTTTTTACTGAACCAAATTTTGGTTGTGTGTGTGTTGCTTGAGTAAAAAAATAACAGTAGTTCTTCAGAAAAAAGTTGTGCATAGCAATGTCTTTTCCACCATCAAAAACTTTTTGGATTAAGCGCAAGAATAGCAACATCCATCATTCATTTCCACGATGGCTAATTTTTTTGTAAGGGTGGCAACGGTAAGCAAACCAAAAAAGTTGTCATCTCATTTAGGTTTGCGCATTTGCTAGCAAAGCTTATTAAAGCACTTGGCTGCAATACAAAAGCTTTTACAATAACAATGACGGCAGCGCGTTGGCAATAAATGAAATGAAAAGTTGATAATTTTTGTATTTCCCTATCGAATTTTGGAAATTGGTAATTTGTTTGTTAGTTTGATAACTTTTTTTCAACACGGAGTTTCGTGTTTGCTAAGTTTTTGAGACGAACTTGACTTAGTATTGGAAAAATCGATATTTCAGGCTTTGTTAGGTTAGAGGAGATCCCTCCTAATAGGTCAATATAGGCTGTGACACCATTCAGTTACCGATCCCTTTATTTTTTTACCTACCTACTTGAAAGGCTGTTTCAGCGTTCATTGGCTAAAACACTAGTGTGATCTGTAAAATACTCTTTAAAGGTGGCCAATATACTCACTGTCAGCTTTCCAAGTTTTTAGCAGTTAACTAAATATGTATTTCGGGCTACAGACAGAGATATGATGAAAGATCTATGTATGTCACTTAGTAAGGTACTTAGCATCGTCTATCTGACTCAAAAGCTTTCATATCTGCTAGAGATTATCAGACTATCTTATTAATGCACAAAAATTAAAATGCGCTGTGTGTGTACACTAGAGTGGTTTATTGTACCAGTTTTTAATACTCGCGATTTTTAAAGGCCCCATCGCATTTTTTGTGGTTTTTAGGGGCCTATTAAAAATAGTTAATAATTAAAAATGGAAAAGTAATAAATTGGGTATTATTATTGGAAGTCTCCTGAAAATAAAGAGAACTTCCCGATTGAAAAATATTGATTTTCAGGAATTCTATACCACTTCTACAAAAATTTGTTTTCCCCAATATAGAACACATGGGAACCTTTGAGCGCTTTGAGCGACCTCTAAATATTTTTTTGATTTCAAAATAAAAAAATAACGGTACAATTTTGTTCGGTGTAGCACAATCCTAGGAGGTGAGAGTATTATAGTTTGTTGCATGTTAAATAGATATTGGTTTAATCCAGCTATGTGATAAATATATTTTTTCTTGCACCTTCTCTTCCAGGAGATTCAACGTCAATACAAAACACACTTTGGCAAGGATCTCATCGAAGATGTTAAATCTGAAACCAGTGGAAATTTCGAAAAATTGCTTGTCGGACTCCTACGTCCAATTGTTGACTTTTATTGCGCCGAAATGAACGATGCGATGGCAGGAATCGGCACAGATGAGGAAGTGCTCATCGAAATACTATGCACATTGTCGAATGTAGAAATACACACTATTAAGAATCAGTACTTGCGCTGTAAGTTTCAATAAAGGGACTAGCACAAAAACTCCCCATTTTTTAAGTTTTTTTTTTTTTGTAAATAATCGTACGCATAGCTTCTTATTAAGCATTTCCGCTAATCCATATTTTCAGTGTATGGCGCCCACTTGGAATCCGAATTGAAATCGGAGACTTCTGGCAACTTTAAGCGTCTCTTAGTCTCACTATGCGCAGCAGCACGGGATGAGAGCGGCCAAATAGATCCAGTTGCAGCGCAGGCCGATGCACGTGAGCTGCTCAAGGCAGGCGAATTGCGTGTAGGCACCGACGAAAGCATGTTCAATATGATATTGTGCCAACGTAACTATCAACAGCTGAAACTAGTGAGTGGAAATATAAAAATATATATATTTTTTTTTTGTACGATTTATTTAATATTTTTCTAATTCATGCAATTTTCTTTTACGCAGATATTCCAAGAATACGAAAAAATGACCGGTCACACACTGGAAA